AATTTATTAACTCTCCTTTCCGAGTTTGGCGGGGCGGAAAAGGGCAAGGGAAGGCGCTTGGCCGGGTGTCTGGTGCTGCGTAGGTCTGTGTGAGCGCTCTGTTCTTTGGAGCCAGCCCCGTTCTTGTTCACCACGCACCCRTTTTCGTGTTTCCCGCTAACCTGCGGTGCTTTAATCCCCCCCCGCCCCTGGCACGTTGTTTCTTGTAGCTGCCTGTTGATAAGAGCTGCGGAGGCTGCACGTGATGGTCGCAAAGCGGAGTTTCCTTGGGCRGCAGCGTTGCCGCGGCTTGAGGCAGTGCCGGGAACGTCGCATCCCGCAGCGCTCTGGGACGCGAGCCCAAGGTGTGCAGCGAGCAGGGCTGTGGGTGCAGGGCTGTGAGCGCAGGGTTACGGGCACAGAGTTACGGGTGCAGGATGGTGCCACGCAGCAGGCAGGGCTGTGGGTGCAGGGCAGTGGGCACAGGATGGTTCTGTGCAGCGTGTGGGGTTTTGGGTGCGGGGTTATGGGTGCAGGATGGTTCAGTGCAGCGAGTGGGGCTGTGGGCACAGAGTTATAGGTGCAGGTTGGTGCCATGCAGCAAGCAGGACTGTGGGTGCAGGGCTGTGGGTGCGAGGCTGTGGGTGCAGGGTGATGTCACCTACCTGAGGGGTACTTGGCTGGAGTGGGGACCCAGCCAGGTACCCCTTGGGATACTTGGTGCTTGGGGGTACCCAGCACTGCCCCCCCGACCCTCCCGTGCGCGCCACATGGCATCGCCAGCCGTGTCAGAGCAGCAGCCATTGCAGCAGCGGGTGAGATGCAGCGCTCCGCGGTGGTTTCCGCTGCGGATCCCAAAATATCTCCTTGCCGCAGCTCCGCGTTGTCACCTTGCTCTGACTTTTCCTAAGAAAACAAGCGGGCTGGTTTCTGTGGGCAGCCGTTGTCCGTGTGGTAGCTCAGTAGATACCGCCCATACCTGGAGGACGGGGGAGACCCCAAGCGCGCGGTTTAGAGTTCCAAGGAGCAGCAGCCTGTCACGGACCTGTACACGGGTCACTTTGGGGGCTCTTTTTCACTGAGAGGAGAAGCCCTCTGATACATGATCTGCATCAAGCTTCCTTTAACCTGTAGCTGGAATATGGGACATCTTAAAGGTGTGGTTTTATCTGCTTTGGACATCGGTCATCACACTTCTGCTCCGTGTTRGTTGGCAATATCTTTCTGTTTTTTTTCCCCAAACAATATACTTCTGTTTTTGGGATACTTGAGCCGTTTTCTGGCACTGTGTTCTTCTGGAGATAGGTCCAAGGAATCCAAACAGCAGCTTGTTTTTGATAGCGACTGTATAAACAATTTCAGGAGCATTTGTCTCTTGTGGGTAGACCTGATGACCATACAGCGCTGCTGGGAGCCGGTATTTCCAGCTGACTTTTTTTGCATACGGATTGTCTCCCATGACTTAGCTCTGGCATGGAAAGGGAACAAGGAGGAAAGAAAAGGTTCGTGCTATTCCCGTTCGGAGATTACCCTGCGTTGGCTTCGGATTCCCTGCCTCGGCGTGGGAATTGTTTGCTGGCATCAAGCGCGTGAGGAACCTGTGGGATCCCTGCTGAGGGAGGCCTGTCCTCGCGTGCTCAGCAGAGCTGCCTAGGAGATAGGCTTTACTTCAAGATTATTTTGACAGTGTATTGAATCAGAGCTCATCTAGACAGAGTTGCTGATTCCAGTTCATTTTGCTGGGGGGAAAAAAGGCATCTCCAAATATTTCCCCCCAAAAAGCTCATTTAACAGTTTCAGTTAGAGAGCCAGTAAAAAGCTTTTTTTTTTTTTTTTTTTTTTTTTCCTGCTTATTTTTTCAGGCTGTGCCAAATTTTCAAATTTTAAGTGATTTTCGATTGCTCCTTCTTTGAACTTGCTCTGGGGGGGGACTCTCCTTGAAACCCTGTGCGTGGGCAGCTGGCAGAGGCTGCTGCTGCTCCCGCCCGGCTTTATTCTAGGTGCATGGAGCAGCGGTTCCTTCYCGGTGCTGGGAGGGGTGTTGGTGGTGTTACCCCTGACTCACGGCACAGAAATCAAGGCACAGAAATGCCAGCTTTTGGAACTGCAAAAAGAAGAGAACCTGGGTGAGGCCGGGTGGCGAGAGCCCTGGATGGAGCCGGGCTGGCTGCGCAACACGSGGCAGCACCGGGAGCCGCAGTTCCTGCAAACCAGCGTGTCCGTGGAACAGGGACCGGCCAYGGGCAGGATGCCCAAGCAGGGCTTGCATGGCCCCTCTTCCCCGCTTAAAACACGCGGGAGGCTCCTTTTTGGAGGCTCCTTTTCCTTGTGCTATTTCCTTCTCCTATTTGGAGGCTCCTTTTCACGCTCTGAATTCCAGTGCTGTGTTCTTGCKCCGTGGCCTCTGTGCGCCGCTCCCCCTGTGAAAAGACCTCATGGTTGGGTTGTTAATGGATTGAATATTGATGAATTGGATGTAGCTACAGTGTTGGTGATGGAGGGGGGGCATATCTTCATTTCTCTGAAAGCACCAGGCAGCTGCATATAAAGCAAATGAGGGGGTTTTACAGTGTTTTTTACAGTGGRAGCAACTTAGAGCAGTGGGAGTCTAAAATACTTCCATGTTAAAACTTAACAAGACCTGCAAAAATACGAAAAGAGGCTAAAATTAATATCATAAATAAAAAATAAAATGTTCCCCGCACACAGTCCCTTTCTGTGCAATGTGTGTGTTGTGGCAGCTCGGGAGATGGCTTGGGGTTTTCCTCCCGTCTGTTGGCGTCCTGCTCCGGGCAGTTTACRTGGATGTTGAAGAGCAGGTTTTCCCATTTGGGAAAAGGCTGCTTGCCAGAGCGCACGCAGCGTCCGGGAGCACCAGCATCTTCCTTGGGATACGCTGGCAAAAGGGGCGGGTGAAGCAGAAAGCCCTTCAATAGCTCTGGCTAGAGGGATTTCTAATAATTTCTAAGGTTTGCCGAAGGACAGTTGCTTTCCACATGGCTCACAGGAAAGGGAACAGCCATATCTTCATTTTAACGCACTGGGGTTGTGTCCTTGCATGTCCAGCTTATGTATTTCCGTTTCCAGGTGTATTTAAGGCCAGGGTGGTTTACCGGGAAGCCTGTGTTTCCACCTGGAGGTGTCCGGGGCTGCGTTTGGCTGCGCTGCATCCTGCAGCGCTGCGGCTCGGATGAGCTGCCCGTCCTCCTGCTCCCAGAGCATCCAGTCTGGAGCTGAGGAACATTGAGCCCTGCAAGTCTGGCTTATGGAGAACTCAGACTCTTGCTATTCTCTTACTAAATCTGTTGTCTTATGAGGCCTTCATTCCACAGATGCCTGTGGTTCATCATAAGGACACATTCATTATAAGAGCATCTCATGGTGTCACCTGGAGATCCCCTTTTTTCCCCAGGAGACAGCTGTAATTTTAATAATAGAGTCCGTCTTATAAAAAGGAAAATAAAAAAATAAAAGCTTATTCCCATTTTAAAGCCACGCTTAAATAGAAATCTAGTGCTGCTATTTGTTGAAAGAGATACAGTCTTTAAAAAAGAATATTTAAAATGTCGTAGGGAATAACCTAGTTGGTCTTTCACCAGTGTTAAGACCCGAGAAGGTCTTAAAACTGAAAGAGTAAATGGGCAGAGGATGGTCGAAGCCTTGCCTGGCTTTGGAAGTTATTTTCAGGACTATTGCTCGGGTCTTGTGAAAATCCCATCGTGCTCCTCCTGCGTTGCTGTCCCTGGAGGAGGGGTGTGGGAATAAGCCTTGGTGGCTCCCGGGTCAGCAGGACGGGAGGGTGGAGGAGGAGGTCGGAAGGAGGCTTTTCCCCCCTTTACTCTCAGTGTATTTTGGCTTTTTTTTTCCCTCTCGTGGTGTTTTCCTGCAATTGTGCATCCATGGGTTGTTTTTTGACATTTTTGGAGCTCGTCTGCCCTTCTGCTGCTCTGGACATGCCAGGGACAGGGCCATTCCCTGAGGGCACCCTGGAAAGATGGAGGAGAAAGAGGGAATATAGAAGCCCTTAAAAAAACCAGGATCCATATGTGTGTGTATAAATGCTATACAAATATATATATATACACACACACACAAATACTAATATATATATATATAAATGCTATATATACGTACATATATAATTATATATTATATTTATATATTTTTATGGATATAAATGTATATAAAAAATATATATAACTTCTAAACTATATATATGAACTATATATATAAAAACATATATATATAGACACATATATATACACATATAAACCTTTGTTCTCTGTTTCTTGTGATTCATTTAAAAAGCCGCCCAACAATTCGAACCAGTGGGGTGGTTTTCGCGCCTGRCCCAACGTTGCCCACAGGGATCTGAGCTCCAGGTTAAAATCCCGGCCACGTTTCCTTAGCAAACACYGCCCATTCAAGGGAGAAGGGACATCTCGGGGCTGCAGCGGCGGCAGGTGTCCCACGGCTGCCCGCCGCAGCGCAGCCTGACCGGCAGCCGCTTTGGTGACGCTGTCCCCGGCCTTGCGAGCGGCGTTTGCCCGTTCACGTGCCTCTCCCTGGGTTCCTCCTGCAGCTTTGGGCCAAGAAGAAAGGYTCGCTGTGGTTTTCTTGCAAGATATGTTGGCTTTTGCTGTCAGTTCCAGTCTTTTTTTGAGACAAAAGAGGTATAGGAAGCATGAAGGAGGAGCCGGGACCTGTTTTTCGGCTCGGCAGCCCAGTGCCGTTCTCTGCTGCTGCGAGAGGCCTGCAGGGACCCGGGCCCCTGTGTCCTTTCCTSGTCTTCCCTGCTGCTGACTCCCAAGGTGCTGAGACGCAGCATGACTCCAAATTAAATCCCCTCCGTTTTCAGGGAATGCAGCCAGATCCAGCTGACAGTGTAGGCGTTTTCTCTTGACCATCTCCTCTGAGGATTTTTCAGGAAAATAATTGCAGGGTAATTGTGACTGATGTGGCCTGGGGGTCGCGCCGCGTCTCGTGGTGCTGATCCCGTGTTTCCTTTCTGCCTTTTGCAGCAGCGACTCCAGCAGCAGCTCGAGCGACGAGTCCCCAGCGCGGTCGGTTCAGTCGACGGCAGTTCCAGCACCTGCATCCCAGCTGCTTCCATCTCTGGAGAAAGATGAACCCCGCAAAAGTTTCGGGATCAAGGTTCAAAATCTTCCGGTTCGCTCTACAGGTAAATTCCCGTGCAGAAGCTGTCTCTTTGCCATACCAGAAAGGGGGAAGAAAAAGAARGAGGAAGCAGATCAGAGGCTGATTTATTGCACATCTTTGATACCAAATGTGTGCAGTGTTTTGAACCCCTTCCATGCTGAAGAGGAAAACACAAGTGCAGTCGGAGCCTTCTTTTATGAAACTTGGCTTCAGTGGAATTGCTGCTGTAAAAACGGTAATATGCTCATCAGATTACTTAGGGCAGCCTAAMGTTTTGAATTAAAGTTCCTTTGGGAGACTTGGGAGTGTTAGGTCTCATGGTGGAGTTTAACTTAGGAGTTCCCCGGTCAGAGGAAGGAGAGTCTTCCAGTTTTTGTTAGAAGTTTAACTTCCTGCATCCCCGAAAGAAGACCAGAATTGCAGGCAAATCCTAGAGATAAGGGGGGTAAAACCCCTCTCCTGGGTCCCTTTGTTGGGTTCTTACAGTATCACCCAACTTCTTTGGTTCAAACTGAACTTTTCCACATTTTTTTTTCTTCTGGCTGTCTGCCTCATCATAGTTTGCACTGATAAAGTTAGAGAAAAATACCTTGATCTGCTCTACATAAACATGCAGGCGCTTGGTTGAGAGACGGCCCCGCTGGAATTGGCCTGGGTGGGGAGGTTGGTTCCCCTTCCACAAAGGCCTTTTCTCACCCCTAGCGAGGACAAAATGCAGGGTTGGCTGCRTTACGAGGAATCTTAAAAATGCCCTGTTGTTGATGGAGACACAGAGGAGCCTGGAAGGAAGCTCATAACACAGACCAGCAGTTGGGAGACAAAACGTGAGGGCAGCTTTGGGCTTCTCATGAGCAGCTGTCGGGAGATGAGATCGGCCTCTGGGGAGGAGTTTTTACTGGAGGAAAAGAACAGAAGCATCTCAAAATTTTCACTTCCTTTTGACCATTTATTCTCCCCGTGCCTAGTTTTCTTTTTCTCATGAGAATATTAGGATTTTTTTTGCATGAGAATATTAGGAGTTCCATTCTGCCATTAAGTATTGTGTGACACCCTTAAAGATATTCACAGTAATACTGGAGTGGCGCATGCTAAATCATGTAGGGAACTGCTCACCAAGGAGTGCACATGACCCCCTTTTCTGCACTGGAGAAGGTAGAGATCCCTTGGAAGAAAGAGCGTGGGGTCATTTGGGGAGACAAAATGCAGATTAAGTTATCCRTATAAAAGCCCTGGCTGAGTTAAAATACTATCTGTTAGCTTTTGGAGTAGCACGCGTTAATAAACTTAGAGTTGTTTTTCTGTAGAGGTGACACCTGAGGAGGTGTCCAGCGACGCGGGGCAGAAGGTGCCACCACGAGTRAGCGGGCGCAGTCTGGCCTTCCATGCAAGCTGCCCCAAACAGCCCCTGTGCTGCTCTGGTTTCCATTGCAGACACTTTGTCCCAGCTTTGCAGAGCTGCTCCGTGCACGGGCTGTGYTTTCACTTGTGGGGTGGTTAGTGAAGCGACACTCCTTATGTCCTTCTCGGCATCTTAAAGTGGGTGTATTCCAGAAGTAATAACTATACCCCATTGGTTTTTGCCGTGTAGAAGGTAGTTTCTTGGCTTTAAGTAATAAGATGATGCAGAAGGATCAATTGGAAGCTTTTATATGGGCAAAGTTAAGATCAAAAATAGAAACCCCGATGTCCCTTCTGGGAACATTCAGGTCCATGTGAAGCGAGGTGAGAAGGCAAGTTTCGGAGAGAAGAGTGGGTTTTTATGGTCCTGTCAKGTTGTTGGGAGATACATTTTCATGCTAACGCTTGTTTGTTGGCCTAGATACAAGCCTTAAAGATGGACTTTTCCACGAATTCAAGAAGTACGGGAAGGTGACGTCGGTGCAGATCCACGGGGCCTCTGAGGAACGCTACGGGCTGGTGTTCTTCCGACAGCAGGAGGACCAGGAAAAAGCACTAAATGCCTCCAAAGGAAAACTTTTCTTTGGCATGCAGATCGAAGTAACAGCCTGGATAGGACCAGGTAAGCTCCTCCAGCTCTTACAGCTGGGCACGTGGCTACATGTTCACTGACCTTTAAAGAAAAGCAGCGTAGGAATAAGAAATGTTAGAACTGCCTTGCCGCAGAAACAGCATTTAAAGCAACTGGGAGGTATGCCAGGATAAATTCCAGAGCAGGAAGAGTGGATGCTGTTAGGTCAAACAGGGAGAGAATTCAAATCTGAAACGGCAGGGTAGGAAAATTGCCATCCTGTCACACAGTGAGGTCCTCCCAACTGCTGGAAGAGACTGTAACCTTCCATATACCAGTGAAGCAGAAGCCAGTGGGTAATCTAACCATAGCCTGAGTGCTCACAGGCTGGGGTTTTTTTTTTTTTTTTGGCTTTTTATTACAAAGACTAAAGGTAGCAACGTTTTTGACTCTTCAGCAAGACTGACCAAGTAGTGAAAACAAAAACATTGAGCTGCTGGGTTTAATTCTCACACTGTGTGTCAAATAATTGTTCACAATTGGTTTATGAAAGTAAGTTTTTTCCACATACTGTGCCCCAAGTACAATGAAGCCGTATTTGAATTCTTGATAAGCAGCAGTACTTAACAAAGTCATAATTTTCTAGAGAAGCAGAGCTAGAATGCAACTGAGGATGCTCATGTTCTCCAGCAATTAGCTAGTGTGGCACACAGAAAGTTCACATTCTCTGTAAATCAAGTCCCAAGTGCAGTGCATCTGTATTCCTGTCAGAGGCATCCCTGAGTCCAGCTGCAGTCGTATCTGCCGGTCTGAAAGCAGATGCAAGGAGGGAAATCAAATGACCCCAGCTCTCGTGAAAGCCGCCTGTGCTCCACATTTCTCTCTGTCTCTCTCAATTCCAGAAACAGAAAGCGAGAACGAGTTTCGTCCCTTGGACGAAAGGATAGATGAGTTTCACCCCAAAGCAACKCGAACTCTCTTCATCGGCAACCTGGAGAAAACCACCACTTATCACGACCTCCGCAACATCTTCCAGCGCTTTGGTGGCATAGTGGTATGTGGCTTTCTACATATTTTTTTTTAGTTTATAGAGGTATTATTGTCCAGTGCTTCTGCACAGGCCTGTAAAATGCTATAAGCAGTGGTAAACAATGTTGTTTACAGATGATTCATATAGATATGTGTGCATATATCATATATATAATAATATATATCATATCATATCATATATTATTAGTTATATTTATATATTAATTACATTATATATTATATATTATGTATTATATATTATATATTATGTATTATATATTATATATTATGTATTATATACTATATATTATATAGTATTATGTATATGTGCACACACACATATATGCATAGCTGTATATAACTTTATATTTTGCATAATTGTAGCTTTTCCTGCTAGAATATGTCCTAAAGCTCTTCTGTGCATTTCAAGTGAGAACTTAGGATGTTTTGGGGGGGGGATGACTTTGCAATGGAAACACTCTCAGGAGGTGTAACAAGAAATGTATTTTCTGCTCCCTCTGAGTGTTTGCAGAACGAACGTGACTAGCTAGGCCAGCTGTGTGGATGCTTAGTGCTGCTGTCGTGTTGGATAGGCTCAAGCCTGTGAAGTCTGAGCTTGCCCTCCGTTTCTCAAAGACAGGGTTTAGTTGCTGCATGCGAAAACAGCCGACCGCTCTGACTGCCTGTTCCTACCAGCGTGAGGGGTGCCGGGGTCCGTTGGTGCTGCTCTGCATGCAGTCGTGCCCAGCTGGTTCAGGGTTTTCCAGAAAAGTCAAGGAATGGTCTGCAGCAGGTGGGACTGACACAGCCAGGGGCGCATCCGCACAGGTAGCCCAGCATCTCTGTGCAACGTCCCTCCGCCTGTGACTGCTTAGGAGCACGCAGGGCCTCGCTCTGCCTTGCGGTATTGATGGCTGTTGAGGTATCAGTCATGCATATCCCAAAGCCCACATGTGCGTCCCCTCAAAAAGGAGGACACCGGGGACAGGACAGGTTGACCATGAGGCAGCAGTGTGCCCTGGTGGCCGAGAAGGCCCATGGGATCCTGGGGTGCATCAAGAAGAGCGTCTCCAGCAGGTTGAGGGAGATTGTCCCCCTTTACACGGCCCTTGTGAGGCTACATCTGGAGACTGTGTCCAGCTCTGGGCTGCCCAGGACAAGAGGGATGTGGAGCTGCTGGAGAGAGTCCAGCGCAGGTACAAGGATGACCAGGGGCCTGGAACATCTGCCCTRTGAGCAGTGTTGGACTAGATGATCTCTAGAGGTCCCTTCCAACCTTAATGACTCTGTGATTCTGTGTTTCCCCACACAATGTGAGCAAATAAGAAATACTCATTTTTGAACAAGATGCTCTGGCAGCTCTTGGGCCTCCTCTGTGATCTTGACATCGCCCCTGATTTGTGAATTCCCCTGCTCTGATGTTACACCAGCTGGGCTGTCCTGATAAAGATCCTCATCAGTAGGAGGGCACAGTCCTGCAGGGGCATTTTCTATAAAATAAAGATGGATTTTCTGTGCTATTAACCAGTCAGAATTTAGCAGCAGCAATGGCCTTGCAGAATTGCCATGAAAACTCCTAAACTCAGGTGCAAAAGATGGAGGGAGATAATGAGTAATCCCATTTTATTTGCCCGTCCAAAGGAATTGCTTGCCCAGGGTGAGTGGTCAAGTGTAACTTGCCATGCTCACGACGCGCTGCTTCCGCACTTGGAAATCGAGTCTTCCATTAGCATCCCACTTAAATCATTAGGCTGGGCTATAGAAATGGAGTAGTTGTATAATCTCCTCCCTGTTTACTGCTCTTTCCCTAGATAAAGAGCTCTTGCCTTGTCCCTAACTTTGTTAGCCGTGAAAGGAGCCAGTGAGGCAGGCGCAGAGCTCGCGCTGGCCTGCGGCTCGCCAAGGACGCTGCTGCTGGAGCAAGTGGAACCAAGCGCTCTATTTCCAGCCTGGAATGAATCACAATATCCTGAGCTTGTTCGGAGACTTGTGGTGCAGTTGCCAGTACTAGTGCTAAGCTTGAATGTTAAGCAAATGTCAGCTCCAGGCTCACTCTGGTTTTATCTAAAATGGGTTCCGATCAGGTCTTTTCAACCTTTAGTGTTGTGGTTCATTTCTGAACGGGTCTCTGGTGTGTTAGCATCAGATCTCAGCAGTGATGGAAGCTGGGGATTTCTTCTGCCTTTGGCTCTTTGGTGCCATGTTGGTTCGGGAAATAAGCCCAGCATTGATTCCGGCTTCTAGGAGCAGGATGGATCGAATTTATTTGGAAGAGAAGCCCTGCTTGGCCCTTGGCTCAGAAAGGAGGGTTGGTTTGGAGCAGCTTGTTCTCCCTTGAGCCTTGGCGAGTGAGAATTCATCTAGATTTCTTTGAATCCGGAGTTGTCACCTCTTGACATGATACCACCCAACCTAAGACCCTGTTTGTTGATCAGATCAGGTTTACTTCTTTAGGCTGAGTTTYAGACCTGAGTCACCAAGAGCTTTCCCGGTGTCACTGGGGGTTTGGCTTTACCCTTTGAATGAGCTGAAGCACAGCAGTGAAGTTTTAGCTACCAACTCATGTTTAAAGCCTCTGTGAAGCCAATGTTGATGAAACCAGGCTTGCTGTGAGGCTCCAGGAGGAGTCTGTTCGGATCTGGTTTCTGTTGCTTGTTGCTTGTTGTTGTTATTGTTGTTGGTTCTTTTCGGCCTGTTGCTGACTGTGATTTTGTTTTTGTGTTCTTTTTCAGGATATTGACATTAAGAAGGTGAACGGTGTTCCTCAGTACGCGTTCCTGCAGTACTGCGATATTGCGAGCGTGTGTAAAGCCATTAAGAAGATGGATGGGGAATACCTGGGCAACAACCGGCTCAAGGTAAAGAAATGCTCCTGCTCCTTGTTGTTCTTGCTTACGGTGTCCTAGAGATCTTCTGTGTCACCTTAGACCATGGCAGAGAGGGGTTTTGCCCATGCAAAAGGTCAGATCAGAGGGAGCCAATTCCTGTCATTAGTGTAATTGGGGTTAATGGGCGTTCTTGTGGTCTGAGCAAGGAGGCCGAGGATGGACGGGCCTTGGAGGCTGGCATTGCCCGGCCTGTGACAGCAGTCCTTGAAGATCCGTGTTGGATGATGATTACTGCTGATTCCCAGGGTCAATCCAGCATTTTCCAAAAGCCTTTGAATCGTATCCAAACCAAACGTTGTCAATCACTGTATTTGCTTCAGCATGCTAAATTGTTTTTTTTATCAATTACTGTTTCATTTTTTGCCTCCCTTGCCCCTGTGGGAGATGCCTCATTTTAGAAAATCCCTGCAAAAGATCAGCTTTCTCCACCTAATTCTGCTCGGTCGGGTTAAGCCTTGCGAATTTACTGATGGAAGTTCTGCCCTTCTGTGTTCAGCTGGGGTTTGGAAAGAGCATGCCTACCAACTGCGTGTGGTTAGATGGGCTTTCTACAAACGTTACGGATCAGTATTTAACGCGACATTTCTGCCGCTACGGGCCTGTGGTAAAGGTAGGTGGGAGGCTTTCAGTGTCCAGTTTGAAGTTGTTACTGTCTTCCTTTCTTTACATCCTGTCCTTTCAACCCCGACTGTCCAGGGCTTTCCAGCTCAGCTAGAGAAATTCTCTCTGGGGTGTAAATTTGGCCTACAGGGATCTGCAGCTTTGCTATCCAATACAGAGAGCAGTCGCTTCTGGGCTTTTTCACAAAGAAATATTTTGAATGAGCCGAGATAACAAATTTTGGAACCCAGTTGTTGCTCTTGTGCAGTACAGTCTCTTCCCCCAACAAAATTCCCATGCTAACACTATAGAGTCCAATTACATGGTGAGATTTATGCGTGCTCAATACCTAATTAGACATAACTGTATTTTGCATAAGAACACCCCCCCCACACCCCACCTCCCCAGTGACATTTCAAAACCAGTCACGTTACCAAAGACTGGAAGAAAAGAGCACGTCAAGGGCCGTGCAGCAAAAGCCGTTACTCAGCGGGGCACGTGGAGCTGTGCACGGCTCTTCCCAGAGTTAGGCACCTGCTTAAAGCTCAGCCTGCGAGTTGTCCCGTGCATTCCCACTGCACTTAAGCACCGTGGGTAAAGCAGCATGAGGGGCTTGTCTCCATAAGGATTTTTGGGGGAGGGCTGTGTTGCAGCTTGGACACTCCTCGCTGGGCTGGCTGTCGCCCGAGCACTGAGCTGCTGTGTCCAAGGAAGCTGATATTGGCAAATGGAGCATTTAGCAGCAGACAAGCGGTGCTGCAGACCGCGTGCCACAACGGTTTCCATCTCGGGATGAAACGTTCCCTTTACCTTTTTTCCCCCCTAACACTTATTGGAATTTTTTCCCAAAAAAAAAGGAAACAAAGAGAAACTGCAAAACTAAGTCACCAAAGGAAAAAAAAAAAAAAGTAAAATACAGAAAAACAAAATAAAGGCATAATATACCTCAAGCCACAATATCCACAATTCAAAGCAGTCCCGTGTCCTTTTATTGTCTCTTCAGTACAATATGCCTCATCAGAAAAGCCTGGAAAATTTTACCTTGCRAAAATTATTTTCTTACTGGTATCCTTATGACGTAGGATTTTGTTGGGACTGACATTAAGTCCTGTGGATGAGGCTCTTATTTGGTTTTTGTTTTGTTTTTTTGTTTTTTACAGGTGGTGTTTGACCGCTTAAAAGGCATGGCCCTGGTTCTCTACAATGAGATTGAATATGCACAAGCAGCTGTAAAAGAGACCAAGGGGAGGAAAATCGGTGGGAATAAAATTAAGGTGTGCAGAATGACCTCCAAAAATTAAGAAACAAATTGTATTTAGGCCTTACCCCGACACACTGGCATTTGCAGACTGCCAGATGAAAGGAATGTGTAGAGGGACATTCACGTCCCGGATCTATAAGGCTTAAAACTCTTTTTAAAAAAATATCCTCGGCTTATCAAGATGTTAGGGTGTCTTGAAGCGTTACTTATAAAGCCTTTTCTAATATTCTGCCGTTCGTTTCGCTGAACTTGTGTCTCTCTGAGCTCCTGAGTGTTGGTGTCCGTGTGATGACCCTGTTTACCCAAATCCAAGACGAAGTTTTGGCCCTGTTTCTTTCACAGGAGAAATATAAAATCCCAAGGTCATTGGTGGGGGGATAGCTGACACGAGGCGTCCCGAACCTACATGTGGCTTGTGTGCCATTTCTTCCTTGCAACAGTTTAATTTAAAAATGAACTTTTTTTGGGAAAAAAAAATAGGAGATACTTTATCCTAGAAAAGCGCTTAGGTGTTTGTGGAGTCGTCTTGGATTTAGGTAAATGTGGCCATGTACCTGTTACAACTGTCCCACTAACTGGGGACTGGGGGTGTCTGCCAGCCCCGCTGAGTTACCTTCCTCCTCCTCCTCCTCTTCTCTCCTAAAGAGTGGGTAGTGATTGCGAGCATGAATCTCTTCTGCAGCGTATTTAACCTAACGACTTCGTGCCCAGCATGCTTAGGAGTTGATTATACCACAGTGCCAAGCGCCTTGGTTGAACGCAGCTGAATAAAAATTGCAGCCCTTCCAAAGTTTCCACATCTTATGTTGGTGGGTATGGCTACGTGTCAGCCTTGGAATGAACAGCAGCCTTAATGTTTGTGTGTGTCTGGGCTCTGTTCCTGCAGTTGCACAAAAGACTGATTTTAAAAAAGGAGAGAAAATGTAAAAAAAAAAAAAGTAAAGCATTTTGTGGCATATGCAGTAATAAACCCATTTGGATCCTTAATTCTTGGCATCCGCTGTGCCAGTAGCTTCTTAATACTGTCCTGCTTGGCTGGGAAACAGCAAGTCTGAGAGCAGCGAGAAGAGGAGCTGGTTCCTTTGGCAGCAGCACCTTGCAGGTGTAACCAAAGGGCCAGGGTAGGGACCCGGAGCACTGGGACACCCAGGGCACCCATAACGATTGCTAAAATGTTAAACCCCTCAGTGCCACGGTGCCTTTTGTCCTCCCACTGCTTTCCTGGAGCTTGGCGTGTGCCTCTCGTCTTGCAGCCAAAGCAACCTATCCCATAAGAAGGCAGTTCTGTAGCTCCATGTATATTTACCAAGCTTAGCAGCACAGTTAAGAGAAAGGTCTTTTTCCCTGAGGAGATGAAGAGCCCAGGCCTGAGAGGTGCTTGGTATTTTTCTGTTAAATGGCATTATCACCCCTTTTCTGTCCTGTGCCCGTGCTCAGATTCTGCAGCAGGCAGTGAAATGGTGTCAGGCTGGGATGTTTTTTCCACTGAATGTGATTTACCCTTTGGAATTCTGTTTTCCAGGTGGATTTTGCAAACCGGGAAAGTCAGTTGGCATTTTATCATTCCATGGAGAAAACGGGTCAAGATATCAGAGACTTCTATGAAATGCTGGCTGAGAGAAGGCATGTGTCTAATATCTTTATTCCATTCTCTTTACTTTGCTAGCATCATTTTAAGTGTAATTACATTTTCTTTGGGTCATAAATATTAAACAAGCACTTACATTTATTTAAGTATTTATTAAACTGCGCAGGTTAGTACAGAGTATCGTATATCTGAATTATTGTCAATTAACTAAGAATTCAGACTCAGGTGGAGCTGTGCATCAGTATCCAGTTAATGTGCTGGTCACCTCCACATAGTTGTGAGTCATTYGTTGTTGCTTAAAACTACAAGGAGTGTTTTATCTGTATTGGCTCCCCACGTCCTCCAAGTAAAGTATATGTTAGCAGACTGTATACATATTATAGCAGGCTGCTGCTACTACTAGTCTGTAGAGCTGGAAGTGAAATCTAGCCTTTCACCTATCCATTCTCAACAGACCAGTTCCTTAGCTTGTAAAGATCATAGAATAAAGTCTGGTAATAATAATGAAGATAATAAAGTCTGCATGCAGTTGCATTTTTATTTTTTTTTGCTATTTGACTTAAGTGTATCCTGTGAAGATGCCCATCCACAGCATCGGCGTGACGGGCTCTGGCCGGTGGCTGCAAAGAGGCTCTGTGCTCGGCGTGGGTCGCTTAGCTCTATAGACCCCGTCTGAATGCAGCCGGGTACAGAGCTTCCATTCTCCTCCTCTGCCCCCTTCCCGGAGCTCAGCAAAACGTCACTGTTTTCCCAGCTAATGACTCTGGCAAAGGCTGCAAAGAAGCCTTTTCTTTTTGCACAGGTGCATTTTTATCGCCTTTGGAGATTGGTTTGGATGTTAGGTTCCACTCTGCTGTAAACTAGTGTCAAGCCCAGTGTTCCATTAGTTATACTTGTGCACTAGATAAGTTCAGAGCGAAATAGGGTGGAATAACATGGATGCAAAATCCCCAGTTCTAAAAGGGAAGAGGAGTTGGGAAAGCGGGATTTGCACAATGGCAGTGAATCTGTGCACGCCCTCACATTGCCAAAGGCTATATCGTGCCAGCAAGGAGTCGGTTACAATTTCCTGTGAACTATACCAAATTCAGGAGAAAAAAGGAAAGAGGAACACATTCATCACACGTCTCTTCTTGCCCTGCAGTCAGCTGGGCTCATTGGTGACCCAGTCCTGAGCGGAGCGCTGGTTTTCTGGGGCAGGATGGTGCTTGGGTCCATGCTGGTCTGGTGTCTTCTGTCGTTGCTTCCCACATTCGTCGTGAGTGGTGCAAGGGCAGAGCAGGCTCTGTGGTGGCCCTTGTAATTCTGCACCTCCTCRTCCCGTGCCAACTGCTTTGGGCAGTTCAGGAGCCCCAGCTGCAACGCAAGGAGCAACCGCGCTAACCAGCCTCTCTTAGGCTGCAGTTTTAACACCTAAAATAAAACARACATTAGATGTATGTATATATTTGTACACATGTAAAAACTTAAAAAAATGCATTGCTACATAATGCCACCAGGTTAATGTGGTGGGGATCTTAGATCTCTCCAAAACCAGAGGAAGAGCCATGCACCCCTTAGGAAAACCCACAAACYTTTTCAATTTGCAGCACTAGCTTTCTATTTCCAGGTTAGGAAAACCTATTACATGCAGTGAAAGAGCTAATTTTGAAGTTAAATGATCATTTGAAGGGTTAGGATTAAAAACACCCAAAAGGGAACCCCCGTTCCCTACTCGGTAATGGAGAGGTGCTCGCCTCCCATGTTGATCTCCTCATGTGGYTGCAGCGCGCGGTGAGGCTGGCGATGGGCTGTGCTGCACATCTGCACGGATGCGAGTGCCTGTGCACTCCCTAGGCTTTACCTTCATTTCACACAGTGTTGGAATTTGGCAAAAAAAAAAACAAAAAAAAAAACAAGCAGGAAAGCTTGCTTAAAAAATCCTCAGCCAGGCTGTCACTAGCAAAATGACCCGTTAGCTCCGTGCAGCGGGTGAGGCGAGCGGAGCGGCTAATCCGCTCTGCGCCGATTCATTCTTGTCAAATCTCTCTGTGCTGCCGTGCGTAGTTGCCCTGATGTGCATATAAAGAAACTGTCCTATAACAATTCCCCTACGCAGAAGAGAGTCGTGTAATACCATACGTTGAGTCAGAGGGGAAATTAATCGCCCTGTTGTTGTTGTTTTTGGCAGAGATGAAAGAAGAGGCTCTTATGAATATGCCCCTGATCGTACTTACTATGAGACTGTGAGGACTCCAGGAACGTACCCGGAAGATCCTCGTCGAGAATACCCGGCTCGAGGCAGAGAATTTTATGCAGAATGGGATCCCTACCAAGGCGATTACTACGATCCACGATACTACGATGACCCTCGTGAATACAGGGATTACCGAGGTGATCCGTATGAGCAGGACATAAGGGAGTACAGTTACAGACAGCGGGAGCGAGAGAGGGAGAGAGAGCGCTTCGAATCCGATCGGGACCGAGATCACGAGAGGAGACCCATTGAGCGGAGCCAGAGCCCAACTCACTCCAGGCGCCCGCAGAGTCCCGGCGCGTCTCCCTCGCAGTCGGAAAGGCTGCAGAGCGATTCCGAGAGGCGGATCTACAGCAGGTCGTCCGATCGCAGCGGAAGCTGCAGCTCCCTGTCCCCTCCTCGATACGACAAGCTCGACAAAGCCCGCGTGGAGCGCTACGCCAAAAACGAGAAGACGGAGAAGGAGCGGGGGTTYGAGCAGGAGAGAGCCGACAAGGACAAACGCTTGGTGAGGAAGGAGAAGCCAGAAAAGCTGGAAAAGGACAAGGCCGACAAGCAGAAACGAAAAGCAAAAATCCACTCGCCCAGCTCTCAGTCTTCAGAAACGGATCAAGAGAACGAGAGAGAGCCCAGCCCTGAAAAACTGAAGGGCAACAGTAAACAGAGTAAAGAGAGAGGTGACAAAGAAGGGGCAGCAAAAAACCGCCTGGAACTCATGCCCTGTGTGGTGTTGACACGAGTGAAGGAGAAGGAAGGGAAAGTTATTGATCAGTCTGCTTTGGAGAAGCTGAGAGCGAAGCTCGATAATGACACTATGAAGTCTCCACTTCTCGAACAGAAAACACAGACATCTCAAGCTGAGCAAACAGCCAAGTCTGATCAGTCAAAACTGGAACCTGTCAGACCTAAGGTACAAAAAGAGAAAGCCCTTGCCAGTCATGTAGAAGTGGTTGATAAGGAGGGGAAAATAAAACCCAAAAAGCACTTGAAGGCGGAGCAAGCTTCTGAGGGGGCCAACGCGGTGGATTTGGATAAGCTGGAGGCTCGCAAAAGGCGCTTTGCCGATGCAAACTTGAAGGCTGAAAGGCAAAAACTGGAAGCCAAAAGAAGCAGTCAGGATGAGGAAGATTCGCGCGCAGTTTTGAAGAAACAACTTGATGCGACAGCTTCATCTCGAGAAGCTGGAATGTTACGGGAAGGTGAATTGGAAAGAAAACCCCTGAGAAAAGAGCTGCTTAAAAGGGAATCTAAAAAGCTCAAACTGGAAAGACTCATTCCTGTTACTAGTCCCAAAGAAGTTCAGGAGACTCTTAATGTTGCTGGGATTGGCTTGCGTCCCACTCCAGATCTGCAGGCTCGGCTTATGGACACAGCCGATGAACCTGTGGAGATCCAAGAACTCCCTCCTAAAAAAATGAATCCAGGAAAAGCCCAGCATAAACAAATCCAGCTACTAGATGACCAAGGAGTGGAGAGGGAGGACACGAGGAAGAATTACTGCGGTCTGCCTGAAGACGCACCTGACCATAAACTCAGCCAAGAAAAAGCTCAGTCAGCTGATACAGAGGAGAAAATTGGCATTGACATTGACCATACTCAGAGTTACAGAAAACAAATGGAGCAGAGCCGTAGATTGAAGCAGCAGCTGGAGATGGAGATCGCCAAGTCAGAGAAGTTTGGCAGTCCAAAGAAAGATGTAGACGAATACGAGAGACGGAGCTTGGTCCATGAGGTGGGGAAACCTCCGCAGGACGTCACCGATGACTCTCCGCCCAGTAAGAGGAAAAAGACCGACCAGTTTGATTTTGAAATCAGCACTAAAAGAGAAAGAAACTACAGGAGTTCTCGCCAGGTGAGCGAAGATTCTGAAAGGACGTCCTGTTCCCCGAGTATCCGACACTTTCCTTTTCAYGAGGACGATGACACGCTCGATTCTCCCAGGCTAATGCCATTAAAGGAAACCAAAGAGTCGCCTAAAATAGAAGAAAAGGGTCTTTCATACCCCAACATGACGGTAAGGGAGGACTCTCTGAAATTCAATCCKTACGATTCCAGCAGAAGGGAGCAGATGGCAGAAATGGCTAAAATAAAACTCTCCGTGCTGAGTTCCGAAGATGACCCCAATAGATGGGAAACACAAGTGAAACAAGAGCCCAGCAGAGTAGATATTAGCTTTCCAAGCAGCATTGTGAAAAGAGACAGCATCCGAAAGCGCTCCCTGCGAGACCTGGAGCCGGGGGAAGTGCCTTCGGACTCTGATGAAGACAGCGAACACAAGTCCCATTCTCCTAAAGCCTCCTCCTTATTAGAGAGTTCCAGATTATCTTTTTTATTAAGGGACAGAGAGGAGAAGTTACGTGAGAGAGAGGAAAGACTGTCAACTTCTTTAGAAAGGAACAAATTCTACTCTTTTGCATTGGACAAGACAATCACACCGGACACGAAAGCCTTGCTTGAAAGAGCGAAATCTCTGTCATCCTCCCGAGAGGAAAACTGGTCTTTTCTAGACTGGGATTCAAGGTTTGCTAGTTTTAGAAACAATAAAGACAAAGAGAAGGTTGACTCAGCTCCGCGACCTATTCCATCTTGGTATATGAAAAAGAAAAAAATCAGGACTGATTCAGAAGGTGGAAAACTGGATGATAAGAAAGAAGATCATAAAGAAGAGGAACAGGAGAGACAGGAACTGTTTGCTTCCCGATTTTTGCATAGCTCCATCTTTGAACAGGACTCTAAGCGCTTGCAGCATTTAGAGAGGAAAGATGACGACCTTGACTTCATTTCTGGTAGGTTGTACGGGAGACAGTCTTCCTCGGATGGGACTAACAGCGCGTCTGATCTGGTGCAAGAACCGGTTGTTCTTTTCCACAGTCGATTTATTGAACTGACAMGAATGCAGCAAAAGGAAAAGGAGAAGGATCAAAAACCGAAAGAAGTGGAAAAGCAGGAAGAGAAAGAAAATCGGCCAAAGACCCCCGAAGTGGTTCCTGATAGCAAAGAGTCGGAACATAAAACTTCCTCGGTGGTTGGTCCTTCTTCGGTCASTGTAACGTCGCAGGAACCAGTGCCACTTGCTTCTGAGAAGGCTGCAAGTGAAAAAATCGTAGCAGATACAGCTTCTGTAAAAGAAGAGAAGGCTCCCGACCCTGTTTCTACAGCAGAAGAACAAAAACCAGTTCCTGAAATTGCTGTTCCTCTCAAACTTGAACCACCTGAGCAAACAGAACCCGCGGCAGCTGTAGACGTTAGTAAGGAAGTTGTTCCTGCAACTCTGGTGTCGGAGGAAGACGCCGCGTCCACGGAGCACCCTTCGTACTTGGACACAAAACCTCCCACGCCAGGAGCGTCGTTTTCCCACACGGATATCAACGTAGATCCGGAACCTGAAGGGACCCCGTTGATTTCGCCTCCTCTTAAACTCGCTCAGAAGTCCGAAGAGATCATTGAACCTAAAGAAGAAAATCCTCTACTTTCTGACAACGCCGATGCTAGCGCAGGTCAGAAGGCAGAGGCGGCTGCTGAGGTCCTGCCACCGGTTTCTGACAACGACATGGAAGTTGAACCTCCAGTTGTTGTGAAAGACAAGAAGTCTTACAAGAGCAAACGCTCCAAGACTCCTGTCCAGGCAGCTGCGGCTGCTGTCACGGAAAAGCCCGTGACAAGGAAAAGCGAACGGATTGACCGGGAAAAGCTCAAACGATCGAGCTCTCCTCGTGGGGAAACGCAGAAACTCGCAGAACTGAAAGTGGAGGCAGAGAAGGTTTCGAGGAACGCTGCTAAATCCCCCAGTTCTGCTGCAGAGCCGGAGAACGTGGAGCCGAGTTTGCCGATAGGCCGAACGAGGCGCAGGAACGTGAGGTCTGTTTATGCTACCACGGGGGACAACGAGGGTCCGTCTCCCATCAAGGACTCGGTGGAGGTCACGAGATCCACCAGGAAGAGAGGGGAAAAGGAACCCCAGGAAACGGTGACGACCGTTCCTACTACCCCGAGAAGAGGGAGACCGCCCAAAACACGCCGCAAGCCGGAGGAGGACATCTCTCCGATAAAGGCAGAAGCGGCGCAACCGGAACCCGAGGAGCCCGAAGCTAAAGAAGCTGTGGAGACCCCCAAGCCCGCGGAGGGGTGGAGGTCTCCTCGATCCCAGAAGGTAACRCACAGCCACTCGTCAGCTGCTACCAGCCAGCAGGGAAAGAAGGGGAAAAACGAACCGAAAGCCGAGGCTGCGCTGGAATCGGAAGATGCTGCTGAACGAGCCGCGCAGGAGTCGAGCGGTGGCGAAAGCAGCAATAAAGCCAAAACAGCCGAGAAGGAGGCGGCCGCCAGCGAGCAGAAACGAGAGAAGAAGGAGCTCGATGCAGAGAAGAACCAGCTAGAAATGCCCGTGATTGAGGTCATCGAGAAGAAGCCGGCGCCAGAAAAGGTGACAAAATCCAAAAGGGGAAGATACAAAAACACCAAGACTGTTGTAGATAAGGCCTCCTTATGTCTAAAAAACGTGGAAATACGGCTCAACGTCGACGAGGTGAAGGGCGCCTTGCGGCCAAGTGAGGAGGAATCAGAGCCTGTGGCAGTGTCACCGGCCAAAATCAAAAGCCCCCCAAAAGAGGACGTGTTGCCTCCGCATTTTGCGAAGGCTGAGGTGGAGGATCCATTCCAAGAAACGGAAAAAGAAGCGCTGCGGGAAGCGAAGCAGTGCCCGGAGGCCGCCCAGCTGGCCAAGCAGATAGAACTCGAGCAGGCCGTGGAGAACATTGCCAAGCTCACGGAGACGCCCCCGGCAATCCCTGCCTACAAGGAGCCCCCGGCGGACGTGGCCGAAGTCCGCCCGGAGGAGGAGGGGGACAAACCTGCGCACCAGGCCAGCGAGACGGAGCTGGCCGCCGCCATCGGCTCCATCATCAACGATATTTCCGGGGAGACGGAAACTTTTCCTGCGCCCCCRACTTACCCCGCCGAGTCGGAAGCGGAAATCCCTACGGAGCCGCTGGTGTTGCCGTCGCCGCGGGAGGAAATGGAGCCGGAAACGGACCAGGCAGTTAACAACATCTTGGAAACAGAAGCGGCGGTGGAGGCCGCGGTGCAGCCGGGCGCYGCGGCGGAGGCTGAGGGCAAGGAGGCCGACGTCAGCTTCAGCGAGTCCTCCAACTCGGCCCAGGAGACGGAAACCTTGCAGGAAGCAGAAGTTGCTCGGAAGGAAAAGGGCCGCCAAAAGAGCACCCGGCAGAGGCGTAAGAGGAGCATGGGCAGGAAAGGAGACGCCGCCGAGGTCAGCGCGTTTGAGCCTGAGAGGGTGCAGAGCAAGTCCCCCGCTTCCAGCGAAGCGAAGGCGAAACCCGAGGAAGCCTTGAAGGAYGACAGGCCAACCAAGAGCTCTGCTCAGATGTCTCCGGAGGCGAGTCCTGCCGATGGCAGCAAGGGCGCTGACGCTGCGGCTGCGCACGAGGCCGTGCTCGAGGGCAGCGCGTCTCCAACAGCACCGGCACCGGCTCCTCTGGAGCTGGCGGCACCGGCAGCTCCCGCCGACGAGGGCAGCCAGGCGGAGTTCAAGGTACGGTCGCCTGTGGAGAATGCGCCCGTCACCCCGCCGGGCGCTCCCGCTGCAGCCCTTCCYGCTGCCCCTTCGGCTGCCGCCGCCAAGCTGCCCGCCCCGGTGCCACCCGCCTTCGTCCCCCTGCATTCCGGTGCCGCCAAGGTGCCCGAGTGGATGGTGCGGCACGAGGAGCCGCGCACCCGCTCCACGCCTCCGCCCGCCCTCCCGCCGGATACAAAAGCGTCCGATATCGACAGCAACTCGAGCACGTTGAGGAAGATTCTCATGGAGCCCAAGTACGTCTCGGCGACGAGCATCGCTTCCACGCACGTGACGACGACGCACGCGGAGCCGGTGAGCGCGCCGCGCCTGGAGGAGGCGCCTCCGCACCCCGCCGCGGAGGCCACCAAGCCCGTTTCGGAGGAGAAGCCGGCGGTGCCCGTGGCCAACGCGCTGGACCCGCCGGCGGCCGAAGCCCCGCTCTTCGGCGAGAAGGAGAAGCTGAGCACCGTCATCGCCCCCAAGGCTACCTCCGTCATAAGCAGGATGCCACACAGCGTGGAGCTGGAGGAGGCCCCGAGGATCACCTTGGTGAAGCAAGCGCCCCAGGGCCAGAGCTGTCTCGTTAACGCTCCCTCGCCGAAATTTAAGCAGAGGTCAAGCGCGAACGATAACAGTCGGTTTCATCCGGGCTCTATGTCTGTCATTGAAGATAGGCCTGTAGAGACTGGCTCCAGCCCGGGCCTGCGGGTGAACACCTCGGAGGGTGTGGTGCTGCTCAGCTACTCGGGGCAGAAGACGGAGGGTCCCCAGCGCATCAGTGCCAAGATCAGTCAGATCCCCCCCGCCAGCGCCGTGGACATCGAGTTCCAGCAGTCTGTGTCCAAATCGCAGATTAAACAGGAGCCCATCGCGCCAGCGCAGGCGGCGCCGAAGGGCTCCCAGGCTTCCGCGGGCTACGGGACCGTTTCCACGCATTCCTCGCTGGTCCTGGGCACGCAGCCCTACAACACGTCGCCCGTGATCTCCTCCATTAAGCAGGAGCGCGTGGCCTTGGAGAAGGCCGACGCGTCGCACCTGGCTGCGCMGCCGCCGGCGGCGCAGCCGGGGGCCGGGAAGGTCCTCGCGCAGCCTGGGAACACTCCGCCCGTGCTCGTCCACAGCCAGATGGTTGTGAACAAGAAACTGCCCGATGCCGCCGCGCTCAAAGCGGAGAGCAAGACTCTGCAGCCCTCCAGCTTGAGTCCCGGCGTGAGCCCCCATCACCCGTCGCTGTCGGGGAAGATGCACTCGGAGGCCAACCACGTGAGCTCGGGGCCCGGCACCCCCACGGAGCGGGCCATTTCCCACCTGGGCGTCGCGAAGCAGGAGCCGCACTCGCCGCGCACCAGCGGCCACTCGCCGTCGCCCTTCCCGCGTGCCTGCCATCCCGGCAGCACGGCGGCGCCGGCCTTGCCGAGCAGCACGCCGGTGATGCTGGCGCCGGGCCTCTCCGTGCCGCCCTACATCTCGGGCATGCACCCGGAGCAGTCGGTCATCATGCCGCCGCACAGCGTCACGCAGACCGTGTCGCTGGGCCACCTGGCGCAGGGCGAGGTGCGCATGAGCACGCCTCCTCTCTCGGGCATTGCCTACGGCATGCGCCCTGAGGCGCTGCACTCGCCCCGGACGGCCCTGCAGCCGCAGATGGAGATGAAGCCGCAGCGGTCGAGCACGCCGCAGCCGGCCCCCATGCGGGACATGGTGATGGCGCCGCTGCCGGCGCAGCACCCGCCCGAGGAGGAGCTGCACTTCCACCACGGCGCCGTGTGCCGCGCGCCGGCGCCCGGCCAGTCCGACGTGCTGGTCATGCAGCCCGACTACCGGCTGCACGCGCCGGGCATGCGGCTCGAGCAGTACAACGTGGCGCGCGACGTGCGCATGATGATGCACCCCCACATGGCGCCCGTGGGCGAGCACCACGCGGACGGCAGGCAGGCCCGCACGCCCGACGGCGCCGGCAAGACGCCCCCCGCCAGCAAGACGCCGCAGCCGGGCAAGGAGGCGCCCAAAGCCGCCGAGGGCAAGATGGCCCCGGCGCCGCACGGCGAGACGCGGCTGCTGAGCGTCGCAGCGGGCGGCCAGCTGCCCGCGCTGCCGCTCGCGCAGCCCGTGGTGGTGCCGCACGGCGTGCAGCTCATGCACCCCGCGGGCGGCTCCTTCCACGACTACCGCTCCGTGTACGGGGACATGAGGAACTACCACGCGGCGGCGCAGCTCGGGCACCCGCAGTTCGCCGGCGCRGCGCCCATGGGGCTGCCCTCGCGCAGCATGACGCCCTCGCAGGTGAGCAGCCCAACGCGCCTCCCTCCCTGCACCCGCTCCCCAGAGCGGCCTGAGCTCGGGCTCAGGCTCTGCACACCCCGGGGGTCACGGCTGCGAGCGCTACAGCAGCTGCYCTTGTTGGGGTGGTGCAGGTTGGATCCGTTCAGTGTTAGTGGGGAGAGACCGAAGAAATCCCTCTTGGCGGTGCCCACAGAGGTCTCCAAGGGGAGATGGGAAGGGTGCCCCTGGGTTTCTGGACGTAGGGATGTCTTTGGGAATTTCRAGGCAGCCTGGAAAGCCTGTCGGGGTGGCCGCCGCGGGTCGGGGTGGCCTCGGGGCGGTTTCGGGAGCTGGTGTCGGGGCCGCTGCCAGGGCTGACGCGCTCACACTCTGCCCGTTCCACAGAGCCTGCCCGAGGGTGAGCACGCACCGGGCCGCAGCAAGACGCCGCAGGAGCCCAAGGGCCCGGCGGCAGCACCGGCGCCCGAGCAGAGCCACCACGCGCCCGTGAGCCGGCACGCGGCGCCCATGGAGCCCCACGTGCACCTGCAGCGGGCGCCGGCGGACGCRGGCCAGACCTCGTACCCTTCACCCGTCGCTGTCTCCGTAAAGCAGGAGCTGCCGTCGCCGCACCAGCCCCCGGCGGTGCCCAAGCAGTCGCTGTTCATCCCCACGACGTCCGGCGCCGGGGCCCTCGCCCTGAACCGCCCTGAGGCCCAGTCTGCTCTCAAACAGGAGCCGTCTCCTCACCCTGTTGCGCAGAGACCCGTGGAYATGGTTCAGCTCCTGACAGTAAGTGCTGCTCCGTCCGCTTCCTTCTCCAGGAAGCTTCTTTAGTCTGGGGAGGRGAAAATCAGTGCATTTTGCTCAGCTCCTCTCACTGGCAGCAACAGAACAGGAGGCCTCTTGCAGCAAATGCCTCGGAGGTGGCAGAGCTCCCGYGCGTTGTCCCTGGGGCTTCTCGGCCGCGGCCCCGTTGGCGCGGCGCGGGCTCGAGCCCCGAGGTGGGCAGCAGAAGGCCGCAGAGCCCCCGTGTGTCGCGTTTGCTGCTTCAGGCTGCACCCTTGTGGACAGTCTGGCTGCTGCTGGGAAGAGTGTGGGTGTGTTTAATGAAAAAAAACACCCGCCCGCCTCCTGAAGGCCTAAACCCTGTGACCGAGGACGAAACAAGGGGGACCTGGCTGAGGAGCAGGCTTGAGTGGGAAAGCTCTCCACCTTCAGCTTTCTTCTCGCGTTGCTTTCCAGAAATACCCCATCGTGTGGCAGGGCCTCCTGGCGCTGAAGAACGACACGGCCGCCGTCCAGCTGCACTTCGTCTCCGGCAACAACGTGCTGGCGCACCGCTCRCTGCCCGCGCCCGAGGGCGGCCCGCCGCTGCGCATCGCCCAGCGCATGCGCCTCGAGGCCTCGCAGCTCGAGGGCGTCGCGCGCAGGATGATGGTGAGGGCGGCCCTGGGGGGCAGAGCTCGCGCGGGGCACCCTCGAGCTGACACCTGGGCGCCCAAAGCGGCTCTGTTCCGCCCCGCCGGTGGCYTCGGGGTGGCCTGAGGGAAACGGCGCCTCTGCCGCTGGGTGGGATGGGTTTCCTTCCACGGGGGCACCCAGCGTGYGAGTGAAACGCGCGGTAATTTGGCACTCGGATGGATTTCGGAGTCGGGGAAGGCTCCTCTCGAGGTTCCCRCGCCCCAGCCGTGCAGCTCTGACACGGCAAAACAAGGTGGCAGGTGGCAGGCCAGGGAAGCCCAGCGTTCTCAGTCCTCCTCCCAGCCCCCTAGGCCGGGCTTACATTCAGTGCGTGGCTTTTGTAACACCCGCAGTTGCTTTTCGAAGGAGTTCAGAAAGAGCAGTTGCCAGCGAGGGCTTGAAGATAACGAATGTGTGTCAGRAACGGGCCTGTTCCCAGCAGACATTTCACCCAGTTGCTCTTACGTTCCTTCCAGGTGGAGAGCGATTACTGCCTTTTACTGGCCTTGCCTTGCGGACGAGACCAGGAAGACGTCGTGAATCAGACAGAGTCWCTTAAGGCTGCGTTCATCAGCTACCTGCAGGCCAAACAGGCTGCAGGGATCATCAACGTTCCCAACCCTGGCTCTAATCAGGTATGTGGYAGGGAAGCTTTTGGTAGATAAAATAAATAGAAGTTGTACCTTGATAAGGGAACCTGAGSCCCTCCACCCCCAGGGTCTCTGCTCAGGGTTGCAGTTAAGGGGCATGTTTGTAGCTCTGAAACAAAACCCATGAGTTGTTGCATCACTGGGGAAAAATGTGGTGCACGAAATCAGTATAATTACCAAAGGCAATTACCATTGCCAAGAAACACCCCAAAACCAGGTTCATTTTGTTTTTTTGCAGCCCTGACTCTTTGGTTGGGAAAAAAAAATGAAAAAAGAAATCTTTTCCACCTTTTCTCTTGTGTTGGAAGGAGAGTCCTTACTTGCCCTGGTTCCTTCTGTGCTTTATCCCTTTTTTTTTTTTTCCAGAACATCTGATTTTTTTTTTCGTTCTTTGTCAGATAAAGACAAAATATTTGGGCTTGGTAATCCCAAGTATTTATACCAGCTGTGTTGCTCCATTGCRCTAGATTTAATCTGTTGCCCTCAATAACAGTCTTGTGAGACTGAGAGCAACCACTGCGAGCTGCCACTTGAAACAGTGGCCCTTTTTTTTTTTGGCATTTCGGGGCAAAATCAGCCAGCTCTGAAGGAYGAGCGCGAGGATTCCCCTTCCTAGTTCAACTGCTGACTTGCTTGGATGCCGTTGTGGGCAGCTCTGCAAAACCCGGCCCAGGGCAAGCAGGGAGGGTCGGTCAGCTCCTCTCCCTTCCTTGTGCTCACGTCTCCGTTGTCCTTTCCCTCCGCAGCCAGCCTACGTTCTGCAGATATTCCCACCCTGTGAATTCTCGGAGAGCCACCTGTCCCGTCTCGCCCCAGACCTCCTCGCCAGCATCTCGAACATCTCTCCTCACCTGATGATTGTCATCGCGTCCGTATGAGCTGTTTACCGGTTACAGACTTTTCCAAGGCCCTGCAGCAAAAAAAAAAAGATATATATATATATATATATATATAAAAAAACAATTAAATAAAAAATAAATAAAAAAGAGAGAGAGAAAGTAATGAAACAAGAAAATGCTGCCAGACTACCAGCCTCCTGCCCTAACAGGCCTCGATCAAACTGTTGCTGGGTAGTGGTTCCTGCTACCTTGTATGTTTACATATTGCTTTAGCTTATGGACAACTGATGCACTCAACAGGCGGACTGGTATTGGGTTTCTGTGCCTCCTTTTGGGGAAAATAAAGGATGGCTATTTTTTTTAACAAAAAAAAAAATAAATAAAAAAGAACCTGAACTGCCTTTGCACTAAATTAGTGACTCGGACCTTTGCACAGTTGGAGACATGCTGTGACGTTATGGATGTCTTGACACACAGTTAACGTTGCGTTGTGGACTAAACGCAGGACCTGGGAACTTCTGCTGAGATTTGTGGGTCAAGGATCATTTCACACATTT